GGGGGGGGGGGGGGGGCAGCCTTAATTGATAGTTTCCCTTTCTTCTGTTGTTTCATGGATGTTGGGGTTGAAGTCTCTTCTTTTTTTTTTTTTTTGGTCATTTGTCATTGAATAAAACAGTTATACGTCTTTGAGTCAGTATTGTCGCTCTGGTCTCTCGGTTGTTTGTTTTTTTGTATACTTTGTTCAATGTTGTACTGAAGTTGGTTATTACAGCACAAGGAGCAGAGGTCACGATTTTCTGGATAATCCAGAGGTCTGAGTGTCTGGAAGTATCTGGCACTATATTATTCAAAAAGATATCGGTTGTTGGCAGGTGCTCAGGTGTGGTTTGGTCCTTTCCTATCGAACATCTGTTGTCCCTATCTCTCCTCCTTTTCTTGTATGTTTCTCTATGAACCCCTCCACTCCATTCTTTGGGCACTTGTAGTATGACTGTGTGTTGCAATGGCTGGAAAACTGGAAAAAACTAACTCTTACTACTACTATTACTGCTGAACTCCCAAGCCCTGTCACTGGCAAGGTTGGTGACACACTCACAGCTCAGAAAAAGTCGTGTGCTGCTTGCCAAGCCAAGCCACTTGTACTTGTATGTTTAAGAGAGCAAGTGATGGAAATCTGAACTCCGAGAGGGGAAGGTTGTTTTTTAAAGTAAAAGTTTTACAGCACTTGCAACACATTGGGTCAAATATTTTTATTTTTAGTAATAAGCTGACATTGTTAGTTTTCCGCGGGAAAATGGATCAACCGTGCTGCGGAATAAGATTTTTTGCAGAATTTTGGAAAAAATTGTAAGCATTATTCATGTTTTCAGACGTAGAATTTCGAGAGAAAAAAAACAAACTCAAGCGAGCTCCGAGCTGACGATGTTAGAGTGATCTTCTGGAAGCCGGAAATTAGAGCGTTCTTTTTTTTTTTTTGAAACAAAATTGATCTTGATCTAGATTCTTCTTTGTTCTAGTAGATCTAGATCTGAGGTTTTACGGCACTCGCATGGCTGGCAACTGCGTATATAGGTCATTATGGGCGTCAAGGGGTGGATGTCAACAGAGAGGTCTAAACGGGGGATCAGGTTTACTCTGTTCACCTCTCTAGCCTCAATAATAGGCTACTAACTCTACTTAGACTATCAAGGCACCCTGAAAATAGCAATTCACAAAAGAGTGACAAACATACAAAAGAAGTAGAGGAAATGATAGTGATAGGAAGGATGAGGAAAGAAAAAGCAGCAGTTCCCCCAATTCCCTATACTATGTTATTCCGACACGGTATGATGAGCATGACGTTGATAAATCAACCCCTGTACCTTTCTTCTGTGCATAAGAACATGTTCATATCCCCCCTTTGGGAATGGCGTAAAGACAGCTTCAGGAAGTGGCACTACCCTGTCTGCTAGATTCTATTGTGCATGCGCTATTGTATAGGAGTACTGGCGAGACGAGATTTTTGTCTTCAATGCCTCCTGACAATCAATGACATACAATGGAAACCTGATATAACAGGGATGGTGGGAGTAGAGAAAAAATCCTGTTATATCCGATCCCTGTTAAATCTGAAATGCAAGGAAAGTGAGCATTTGTGGACTAATCTAGCAGTACTTATTCATGGGTAGTTTCCCTAGCCACAAGTACCCACGAACAGGAGTTTTGGCATCAACATCAGAAGAGCTTGGTCCACAGAATCTGCATCGGGTGGTCTTATCTTCTTTCGATCGAGAGCAAACTTTTCATTGGAGTATGCTGCCACTATCCTCTCTCTATCATTGTAATGGTGGGAATCGACCCTTGTGGAATGTCGAACTGAAGATAAATCTCTGCCAGTGGAGCTTGCTTTTTGTCAACAGTCTGGATTATTTCGTATTTTTTGTCAATTGAAAGGCACTTTCTCTTGCGCTTGACATCGTTGGTGACCATAATGAAAGAAGTAGGCTTAGATCTAGGCCGACCGGTCGTCCCCTCTCTCTCTCTCTTACTTTTTACACATTGTTAACGAGCCTTTGTCCCTGCTATAACCGGTTGGGCTCCGATGAGGCCCTGTTATTGCCGATAACTTTTAACAGAGACAAAGAGTAGGAAAAAACGGGGATTTTAATCCCTGTTATTACCGGATCCCTGTTATTACCGGGCCTGTTATATATGGTTTTCACTGTAGCTCAAACTGCCAGCTCACCTGATTTTGAAATTACCGGCCTACAATGTCTCGTTTCTTCGAGTCACACTTTTTGCTGGTATTTTATGCTATAGTTTATATAGGCTTGTGTTTCTAAACAAAAATACAGACTGTATGCTGCTAATTTCTGGGGGTTTTAAAATTCCATTTACTGTGTCTGTAGTGCTACTTCTTAGCTTATGATTAATTGATACTTAATTGGTACTTATATTTTTTAAGCAGTATGGAAAAAGAAATTTAGACAGGGTCGCAATCCTTGCAGAATTTTGTCATTTTGGGGTAAAATTCTGCGCAGAATTTTGAAAATTTTAATGCAGAAAACTACAATATCAGAATAAGTGCCTAAGATTAGAGTTAGATCAGAGTTGTTACAAGAGAATAACAAACAGAAAAAAAAGAGGTAAGGACCATAGAAGTTTGATCGGAAAGGAGAAGCAAATCACACGAGAGCACCTGCCAACCGCCCAGTGTCTGATACTGATGCATCTTGAAAGCAACACACTGTAAATGTTAAACAGGTAAAATGCCATTGCCTTACGCTAGGAGAATATTTATAAGTACATACAGTGGGGTTCACTTGAAATGAAATCCGCTTGATTTTCTTTGGTTTAATTTTAAGGCAAAGACAGTACAGAACAAGATGGGCCACTCAGCCAAAAAAGTCCGCCGGAAGTTCGCTCTTTGCTTCTTCAGATGGCGCTGCAGTCTGTTTTGAAGCTCTCTTTCATTTTTCCAGAAGAATAGGAATAGCACCTCTTTGTGTGCGCAGATCGACTGCTGTTCATCAGCAGTTCGGGTTCGTTCAGTAAGGAGTTTTAGTTTTTTAAAATTTTAATGACCTCGTTTTTCTTTCTAAAGTCAAATTAAACGAAGAAAACAATCACCCTTTGTTTTTTGTCGGCGTAACCATTTTAAAAAAGCGTTCTTCAGAAATTTACTCAAAAACTTGCTAGTTTCACTCTGATATTTAAAAACTCAAGTAGGGTAACTCTGTTCGCAAAGGGTGCATATTTGCGAAGAGGGCGCCACCGAATTTTGAGGACACTTTTTTAATTGGCTCAAAGAGAGGAGTGGACCCTCTTGTTATGTAGACTCTGATTAAGGCAAGGCTGGTTTTTGGTTTAAAAGTTGCTCAAAAATAGAAGGGGGAAAATTGGGATTTTCTTTTCTTTGTTTTCCCCTGTGTTTGTATGAACCATGTTGGACTATGTGGACTCCAGTGTTTGTATGAACCATGTTGGACTATGTAGACTCCAGTGTTTGTATGAACCATGTTGGACTATGTAGACTCCAGTGTACTATAATTAATAATAGTACAACAACAACAACAAAAAAAGAACATTGTTCAGAGAAAAAAAGGTTGTTGGATACTTTATTGAATGTTTTGAGGGATAACTTTATCTTGTCAAACTTCCGTCTGCGTAGATACATTTCAAATAAATGACAATGCAAATTATGGTGAACAATAACTGAAATGAGACTCTTCTTTTGAACTAACCGTGAAAACAAAAATATATACATACATTACATATGTATACAAAAACAATACATATAGTAACAATCAGGACCAATTGAGCAGCTTCTGCTACCATCTGTTTGTGGCTCACCAGAAGGTTAGTTTTTCTGTAAGTTTAACGGCACTTGCAACACAATTAGGTCATAAAAGTGCTGAAGGTTAGAGGTCACAAATGAGCAACACACAAAGAAATGGGAAAGAAGGTGCACAGCACCTGCCAACCACCCACACCAGAATGAGATACTCAATAAAAATTTCTCCCCATTCTCAAATGGATCTCAGGGTATCCTAACAACATGCACCAGTGAAGTGCTCAGTTGCTGCACCAGTGAAGTGCTCAGTTGCTGCACCACAGGGGCCGCTAAAGTGTCTGTCTGGACAATACACACGACACCACACAGGGATGCCACCAGGGTTTTGTGGAAAAACTTGGAAATTTACCTACTTGTATTTGCGAATACAGTAAATAGACACAATGAATATATATGGGGTTCAACAGAAACAAATGCTGAGAATGATAAGTTTTTTTATAGCCAAAATCATGGACAAAACAGCAACCCTGATGCAGACGGCATCACTGAAAACCCCAGGAGTAGTACAAACCAATATTGCAGAGCTCAAGTCAGAAATTGCACCCATCAGATTAGAATCTGTGTCCACAAAGACAAAAAGTAAAGGCCTACATTATTCTTAAATTGATCTAGTCTGGTACGGATAATTCAAACACGTGGGAGACTGAAAAATGTGTTCAACACACTCATAATTCCGATTGTCTGGGAATAGCAAATTGTACAAGCTATCTCTACTATCTGCAATTTCGAGTTTTCCGTGTTCGTGTTTCTTCTGTGCCCAACTGTATTATCTTATCGTATCTTATCTCACTGAACTGAGTCTGAGTGTCAGTGTCAGGCAGGCTCATCAGGAAAAGAGAGATACAAATTCATTAACATTAACATTCTGACAACCTGAAGGGGATGACTTTTTTTCCCCAAGCTGCACGGCAAACCCACATATTAATTAAAACCGAGGTTTTGAAAGGAATGGTTTTTTAAAGCTTACCAAAATAATACTCCCATGGAATAAAGCAACATGAAACTGGACATGACATATGTCCACCACTTCCAACCACCCTCCTTCACTGATGGATAAAGAATCTTAGCCTACACGATAACTAACAGACTTCCTGCAAAGACTGAGAGCAAAAACGTAAAAATATTTTGATTTCAAAGTAAAAAGAACCTCTTTTAAGAGTGAAAAATGTTTGTAAAATAAAACTGCGTTCTTTTCTGGTCCTCAGCCATTGCAGAGTCTGTGTCATGAGAGAAAATACTGGGGCTTAAAGCCTTCTGAATAATACAACAAAGAAAAATTTGAGATCCTGGAAGAGAAACTGAAATACAACAAAAATGGCAAATACTAATAGTAATAACGCAGGAAATATCCGATAAATTGTAAATGGCAATAGCCAACACGTCTAAGTTGAAACATCTGCTGCTACTACTACTAAACTTTATTTTATAAAAGGAAGAAGAAAAAGAATCTACGCCCAAAATTGCTACAGCGAGGGCATTTGATGAGCATCTTTCAATCAATGGCTACCATTCAACAATCAGTAGGGACTACTTTGTAAATATGATATTGTCATTGTCAATCTCCTATTAAAACAAAACAACTTTTGGGTATGCCAAAGTTTAAATTTAAATGAAAGAAAGAAAAAATCCACCACATGTGAAAGCCCTCTCTGAGACCGAGTTAGATCAAAGAAGACAACACATACGTGACAAGTGTATTATATTCCCAACAAACACACCAGCCCAAAACAACATGTTGATGGCTGGGTGCAACACTACGACAAACGTCAACAAACGGTATGTGTGTGTTATCATGGTGGAATCAGGCGTCCTCAAAATAATGATAATGAAGAAACCGCCATTCTCACGCTTTTTGAGAAATTTTTGTCAATTTTTTTTCTTCTGAGGCTCAGGGTCTTTAAAGAGCATGAAAAACACATTTCTATATGTGGATTTTACCAAAAACTGGTGATCAAAGAACCAAAAAAAAAAAAATGTAAATTTGCAGTTTTCAAAAGCACCCAAACTTTGGAGTTGGAGCTCACCAAACTTTCTTGCAAATTTTATCTCTGACACCAGGCGACCCCACCTCCTTTAATCACAAATATCTCAATTTCTTTTCAACAGAGATGGGTATTTTACTTTTTATCAAAAGCAAGGCAAATGAACAGGCTTTGAGATGATACCAATAGCTCTGTATGCCCAAAAAACTGACGAGTGCCTGATTCCACCGTGACCTATATATATGGTAAAATGCTGTTTGTCGGAGCCTTGTATCCAGCCACCAAAGTGGAGGTCAGAAAAACACGACACCATCTGAGGGCATTTTTCTCACACTATAGTAACAATAGTAATAATAATTGCATTATATAGCGCATATCCACACTCTACAGTATGCTCTATACAAACAAACTATTATTACCCCAGTGGACCCGGTGACACACACAAACATTCTCAGCTTCCCGGGAAGCACAAAGTCCAAGAAGCTGAAGAAGCGTTCAAACATTAACAAACAGACAAAAAGGATCTTTCGCTGTCTATAGCCAGGTACCCATTCCCACCTGGGTGAAGTGAGGACAACTTGTGTTAAGTGCCTTTCCCAAGGACACAACGTCCGGCCGTTGATCAGATTCAAACCCAGGACCTTGCGGTCCGAGAGCCTAACCACTAGAGCACCGACGCCACAAACCGTCCAGGACCCTGAAGTAACACATCAGCAGTGGATGCCAACAGCAAACACAAACACACACGTGCGCACACACACACACAAGAACACGCACACAGGCTCAAGAACAAGTAGGCACTAAAAAAAAGCAACACCAACAACACATTGCAAAAGTGTACACCTGGCACCCACACGCTCCACGCCTCTGTCTCTCACATTCTCTCATGGACCCCCTGCTCAGCCTAATCTATTCTTCCAGCATCTTTCTCATAACCACAAAAGTTGGGCCTAAATAGCAGGAGAAACTTAAAAAATCTAGAGAAATCTTTTCTCCAAACATCTATAGAGGACTGATTGGGGAGCCAATATTGCCAGTCTATTTCAGACCCAACAGTCAAAATAAAGAGAGAAAGACAAAATAATGGATTGGGTGG